GAGGTCAATTCCTCCCAGTGATACCTACAACAATCAAGACTTAACTACAACAAGACTGTGCACAAAGCCCACAAAGGGGTGCACCAAGAGTGTCCACCTCAGGTAATTGGGGAGGCTGAGCCACTGGTCCCTATAGGGCACCTAACACAGAAAGTTACTCTATCAACACAGGGAAGCATAAAAAATGCGGAGACAAAGAAACAAGTAAAAAATTACAGAAATGGAGGAAAGCAAACTACTGGATATATAGTTCAAAAATCACACTTTCAAGGTTTTTCAAGAACTTTCTAGAAACCACCTATAAATTTAGTGAGACCCTCAAGGTTATGAAAAAGGACCAACTAGAAATTAAGCATACACTGACTGAAATAAAGGATATTATGCAGAGTTCCAACAGCAGACTAGAGGATCGCAACCAAGGTACATTCCCTTGACTGGAATCGAACCTGGGACCCTTGAGTCCGCAGGCTGACACTCTATCCACTGAGCCAAACCAGTTAGGGTGAGATGAATGTAAGAAAAGAGCTTCATGGAGAGTAATGAATTATTTGGTCTGGTACACAGACTGGGCTCTTGGAGTTTGCTACCCTCTAAGGTGATTCTAAGGTGCAGGCAACTTTGAGAACCAAGGATTTTTTGGGTTCTGTGGTGCCCCTCCCTATCCCCACTGTGGATAGGAACACCCATTCCCCCAGATGCTGGAAGTACAGTGGGGCCTTGACTTATGAGTTTAATTCGTTCCAAGACCAAGCTCGTTAAGGAGCTCATTAAGGAGCTCGTTAACTCAAATTACTCTATCAACTCTGCAAAATGTCAGCTGAGAGACAGCTGGTATCTCAAAAAACTCGTTAGTTGGGACACTCGTAAGTCAAGGCCCCACTGTATTGGCAGCTGAGAGTTCTCAGATGATTACTTCTCTGGGATTTTCCCTAGTCATTTAAAAGACTCTAGAATTGAATTCTCCTGTAACTGCCTGGTAGTCACATCTTTCAATTCCTTCCTCCAAAGAAAAGCACTTACTTGGATTAGGTGTTTTGCATTCCCATGTATTTCTTTAACCTTTGACTCCACGTGTATATGTATTCCTAATGACAATGTTGAATTATATCACACCATATATTCTTTTTGCCTTATTTGTTCATGTTTAAAACTGTTCTCATTAATAACATTCTAATTCATTTAGATTTCAATTTTATGCATATGCTATAGTTTACCCATTTTTCTGTCGATTCCTTCCCTTGGAGGAGATTCCACTTTTCTATGGAGGTGGTTAGAAGATTTAGGAATGCCCCAAACAATCTAATGGAATAAAAGACAAGCATGGTAATTAACCATACCTCCGACACGCTTCCCATTGGCTAATCAGGGCGATATGCAAATTAACTGCCAAGAAAGATGGCAGTTAATTTGCATACATAGGCGCAATGCTGGGAGGCAAACGGGGAAGGACGGAAGAAGCTGCCTACTGCTGACGGTGATTGGAAACCCAGGCGGCAGGCAAGAACCAGGCAGCCTTTGCCTGGCCCCCAGGGGTGATGCAGAAGCAGAGAAGTGGGAGGCCTTTGCCATGCCCCCCAGGCATGATCGGAGAAGCGGGGGGCCTTTTCACGGCCCCCCAGGCGCGATCGGAGAAGGGGGGGCCTTTGCCGGGCCCCGCAGCGGTGATTGGAGAAGCGGGGGCCTTTTCCCAGCCCCCCAGCTGTGATCAGAGAAGGGTGGGCCTTTGCCCGGCCCCCCAGGCGTGATCAGAGAAGTGGGGGCCTTTGCCTGGCCCCCCAAGCGTGATCGCAGAAGCAGAGAAGCGGGAGGCCTTTGCCCGGCCCCCCAGGCGTGATCGGAGAAAGGGGGGCCTTTGCCTGGCCTCCCAGCTGTGATCAGAGAAGCGGGGGCCTTTGCCAGGCCCCCTAGGCATGATCGGAGAAGCAGGGGCCTTTGCCTGGCCCCCTAGGCATGATCGGAGAAGCAGGGGCCTTTGCCTGGCCCCCCAGGCATGATTGGACAAGCGGGGGCCTTTGCCCGGACCCCCAGGCGTGATCCGAGAAGCGGGGGCCTTTGCCCGGCCCCCCAGGCGTGATCGGAGAAGTGGAGAAGCGGGGGCCTTTGCCTGGCCCCCCAGGGTGATCGGAGAAGAGCGGGCCTTTGCCCGGCCCCCCAGGCGTGATGGAGAACCGGGGGGCTTTGCCCGGCCTCCCAGGCGTGATTGGAGAAGCGGGGGCCTTTGCCTGGCCCCCCAGGGTGATCGGAGAAGGGGGGGCCTTTGCCCTGCTCCCCAGGCGTGATCAGAGAAGAGGGGCCTTTGCCCGGCCCCCCAGGCATGATCAGAGAAGAGGGGGCCTTTGCCTGCCCCCCCCAGGTGTGATCGGAGAAGCGGGGGGCCTTTGCCCGGCCCCCCAGGCGTGATCGGAGAAGCTGGGTGGGGCAGGGAAGAGGCGGCACTGACACCTAAGTAGACCGCAAGCACCTTTCAAACTGCGCGGGTAAAAACCCCTGAGACCGAGTCCTGGTTACCACGTAGATCAGAGCACCTTTCAAATGCAAACCCCATGAGACCGGGTCCTGACTGCCACATAGATCGGGAGCACCTTGCAAACTGCAAACCTCATGAGACCGGGTCCTGGCCGCCACGGAGATCACGAGCACCTTGCAAACTGCATGGGTAAAACCCCATGAGAACGGGTCCTGACCACCAGATAGATCGCAAGCACCTTTCAAACTGCAAACCCCATGAGAACGGGTCCTGACTGCCAGGTAGATCCCGAGCACCTTTCAAATGCAAACCCCATGAGACTGGGTCCTGGCCACCACGTAGATCGCGAGCACCTTGCATACTGAGTGGGTAAAACCCCATGAGATCAGATCCTGACTGCCCACGTAGATAGAACTGCAAACCCCCTGAGACCGGGTCCTAGCCATTATGTAGATCGTGAGCACCTTTCAAACTGCAAACCCCATGAGACCAGGTTCTGGCCGCCACGTAGATCTCGAACACCTTTCAAACTACGTGGGTAAAACCCATGAGGCTGGGTCCTGGCCTCTATGTGTGCTGCCACGTAGATCTTGGGGGGCCAGCAGCCACCTCTTCCCTGCCTCTCCGCTCCTGTCCCCCGCCGGTGATCAGAGAAGTACCTGTATTTTTTTTCAAAGTAC